AACCCGAGTTGATTTGGGGGTCCATAGGTAGGCCCGATTAAGATGTGTATTCTACACCGAGCTGGAATGGTTGGCTCCATATTGCTATTATTGAGAGATGTGTCATTCGGTTGATGTTGAACTTATTCGTGTTCTCAAATGATCTGTGAGTTACTCCTTTATGCTATGAGGAGTTGTGATTCATTGGTTATGTGCACAGATGGTGCGGTTCTATTTGAGATTTATAGCGGAATTTGAGTGTGATGAGTATTTGGGTATTGCATGATCGATAGCGTAATGGTTATGTCCTTTCAGGTTTTGTGTGGTATTTTTGTCATTTGCCTTTCCGTCGTTATTAATTCGGAGCAGGGTGGCTCGGAGTATATAACATGAACCTCGTGTTAGAATCGGGTGATGGTTTTACGGTGTATGATGAATTTTCAGCGTTTCGTTGTGGAGGTACTTGTTAATCTGGCGGGGCAGTTCTCTCATTTGAGTCATTTTCCATGACTGGGTACATTTGAATTGTTGCGTATTGGTGCACGGATGGCACGAGTTGTGGCTCTGAGTTATATTGGTGAGGCATGTCTATGGAACAGTTGTGTTTAGTAATATAAGGTCATTGGACCTAGAATGGGTACTATCAGGTTTGATTTCGGTATATTCGGGAGTATAATATTGAAAGTCGGCTCAGAAAGGGATTATGGTTCTGGTTGGGGCGAGAGGGCTCCGTGACTTGTTGATCTGGTAAGTGGTCATGAAATTTCGCGTGTTTCTTTTATTATCAACAGTGTACGAAGGTTTTGGGATGAGGTTTGGTTCGATATGGGTTTACTACTAGTATGCAGTTGGTTTTGGAGTAGTCACTGCAATCAGGAATGGTCCTACGAGCATGCGAGTTATATAATATGTTGGTTGATTATATCCGTGGTTATAGTTATAGCTCGATGCAACTTGTTCGGACTTATATGGTGTGTAAATGTAAGATTTGTGTCTTGAAAGAAATTTTAAAGGTTGGAAATCAAACTCCAAGGTTTATGGGCTAAGGTTAAATTAATGATTTTCAGTTGCATTGTGTAGTCAAGCCTTATGTGGGATAGGGTGACGTGGGTTCACCCTCGGGTACGTGTGTGGTAAGATGGAACAGTGATTTAATGGCTTGGAAACAACTGTTGGCACGTTCGAGAACGAACGTATGTTTAAGTGGGGGAGAATGTAACGACCCGGCCGGTCGTTTTGAGTATTACAACCTCGTTTCTCTATTTACTTCTCAAATTATACTTTACAGTTATTGTGTGAATTGCCGGGGTAATTGGTTCGGGTCCAGTGAGGTTTTTGAAGGAATTGGGACACTTAGTTCCAAGGTTTAAAGCTTAAGTTAAAATAGTGACCGGATGCGGACTTATGTGTAAACGACCTCGGATTCGAATTTTGATGACTCCAATAGCTCCGTATGGTGATTTTGGACTTAGGAACGTGTCCGAAAAATTATTTGGAGGTCCGTAGTAGAATTTGGCTTGAATTACCGAAAGTTGAATTTTTGGAAAGTTTGACCGGGGGTTTAACTTTTTGATATCGGGGTCGAAATCCTATTCCGGAAATTTAAATAGGTCTGTAGTGTGAAATGTGACTTGTGTGCAAAATTTGAGGTCAATCGGACGTGATTTGATAGGTTTCAGCGTCGTTTGTAGAATTTGAAAATTTGGAAATTTATTAGGTTTGAATCCGTGTGTAGTTCATATTTTTGAGGTTGTTAGGTATGATTTGAGGCCTCGAGTAGGTCCGTGTTATGTTATGGAACTTGTTGGTATGTTAGGACTGGGACCCAAGGGCCTCGGGTGAGTTTCAGATAGTTAACAGATTAATTTTTGAATTTGGAAGACTGCTGGAACTGAAGCCTTCTGGTATAATCGCACCTGCGGAAAAGTAGTCGCAGGTGCGAGCTCGCAAGTGCGAGCAGGGGTGCGCTGAAGCGAGGTGCGCATGTGTGGAAGATACTTCGCAGGTGCGCAATCGCACCTGCGCGAGAAGGAGCACAGATGCAAACGGATGCACGCAGAAGCGGAAACTGGGCAAGCGAGTGGAGTCCGCAAATGCGACGTTTTGCTCGCACAAGCGAATGCGCAGGTGCGTAAATCTTGTCCGCAGATGTGAAAATCGCTGGGGCAGAACCTTAAATTCGAGGATTCAACATTTTCACTCATTTTCGGATTTTAGATCTCGGGTTGGGTGATTTTGGAGAGAAAATTTTTCACGCAACTTGGGGTAAGTGTTCTTAACTCCCTTGTGATTATATTTCATGAATTAATCTTTATTTTTGGTGTAAGATTATTGAATCTTCAAGAGAAATAGAAGAAAATTTCTATAATGTCACAAAACAAAATTTTCAAGTTTGAATACCGATTTGGAGTCGGATTTGAGTGAAATTAGTATGGTTGAACTTGTAATTGGATGGGTTGTTGTATTTTGTGTATTTCGTCGAATTTCGAGACGTGGGCTCCATGGGTGATTTTTGGGGCGTAATTTCGTATTTTATGGAAAATATTAGCGTTTTGATATAGAATTAATTCTTATAAATTGTGTGGACTGAGTCAAATTATTGTGACTAGATTCGAGCCGTTTGGAAGTTGATACGCGCAGAATGGAATTTCTGGAGCGTTGCTTAGCTTGCTCGACATTGGATTTGGCATGTTCGAGGTAAGTAACTCTTCTAATCTTGGAGTTGAGGGTATGGACCCTGAATATATGTATTTTGTGAATTGTTGGGAGGTGACGGGCGTGTGCGCGTGCACTATAGAAATTGTGACATAATTGTTTCTGTGAAATATGTAGTTAAATAATCTTGGCATTTTCCATGTAGTTTTATGAGTTGTAGATATTGAGCTGAAAAGCATATTAAAAATCATGTTGAGGCTATGTGACAGTATTATTGGGACCTCAAGAGGTCATATTGCTGTGAATTATTTGTTTTAAATTAAAAATTCATACTCAGTCATATTCATTTTATTACATATCAGGTCATATTGCTGTGAATTATTTGTTTTAAATTAAAAATTCATACTCAGTCATATTCATTTTATTACATATCAGGTCATATTGCTGTATATGAGTGATGTTCTGCCCGAGGGGCTGTTTATGATTTTATCACTGAGTTGTATCGCATTGGCATGCACACATGACATACATGCATAGAGATGTATATTTTTTTTCTCATGCTGTACAACATCACATCATTCATGATTTCTCACACATTTTGACAGATGGGCATAGTGATGGATTTGTTTTACACGGGTTATCCGGAAGGAAAAATGAAACATATTATTTATTATTAAAAAGTTTTTTGGAGAAATTTATTATTTTCAAACTATTCATATTATTGGCAACTTCGGCAAACAATTTGGGTTTTTACTGATGTATTTGAAAGAAAGAACTACTATTTTTGAAATCATTATTTGGATGAGTATTTTATCCCTGAGTTACTTCTGGTATTATTTGTTTTATGTTGTTATGGATTGTTGTGGACTATTGGTTTTGGACCCGACCTTGGTGGAAGCTCGTCACTACTTTCAACCTACGGCTAGGTTTGTTACTTACTCAGTACATGGGGTCAGTTGTACTGATACTACACTTCTGCACATTGCGTGCAGATATTGGTTGTTGTTGTTGATGTGCTCGATGGTTGCGGGATTTGAAGATGTACCTGCGTTCCTGTTGTAGCTGTCTCTTGTTCAGGGTAGCCTTAGATTTATAAAAGCTCTGTTTATGTATTATTCAAACAGACTATGTATTTATTTTATTTACGCTTTGTATACTATATTCTTAGAAGCTCATGATTTGTACTACCAGTTCTTGGGGATTGTGTAAGATCAGGATCTTTATTCACTTAAATTGCTTTAATAATTATCATTGAAATTGGTTAGTTGGTAATTGGCTTACCTAACGGGATGGGTTATGTGCCATCACGACTAGTTGTATTTTGGGTCGTGACAGACACTTAGCCATAAGTGCTTCATCCCATATTATCAATTTTGCTTTCCTTATAAATTTAGCAACATTGCTCTCCTTTGATATATTTGTGATGGTTATTTAAGTTGTTTGAAGAAGTATATCAAATCTAAAGTGGGTGACCTCACAATAAAACCGGTGTTGGTACACCAGTTGCTATTATTGCTAACAATGTCATGCCTCTGATATGAAATTTGTAAGTAATGCATGACATGATAATATTATTTCGATTCCGCCGGAGGCATCTACAAAGAATAATCCCGTTATAGCAGAGTCAACTCTTTATAATATAATATTGAAAGCATGTTCTTGTGTGAGAACCCAAAAGGTCATCTTTAAATTTAATAACTATTTATGTGATCTAAGAATTCGAAAATCACTATTTATCATTCTTCAACTTGGGTGCACAGTCCGTATAATCTTTCGGAAAGTTTTATATGAAAAATTAATTAAAATGTGAAATAGAGCCTTAAAACTCAACTAAGTTTACTTTGGTCAACATTCCGAGCAAACCGACTCGGAACGGTATTTTGACAGTTTTAGTAGGTCTGTATCCTGATTTGGAACTTGGGTGTATGCCCGAAATTTAATTTGGAGGTCCCTATCTTGAATTATCGCCAGTTGGCGAAAACTATAGGCCTAAAGGCTTAAAGATTTCAAAGTTTGACTACAAATTGACTTTTATTGATATCGGGGTCGAATTCGAGTTCTGAAAATTTTCGTAGGTCTATTATGTCATTTATGACTTGTCTGTCGAATTCGGTGAGAAACGGAGTTGATTTGACGTGATTCGGATGTTCGGTTGTGGAAATAGAAGTTTTAAAGTTTTCTTAAAAAATTTATTTGATTTGGTATCCGATTTGTAATTCTAGGTGTTAAATTGGTGTCTTGATCGCGCGAGCGAGTTCGTATGGGATTTTTGGACTTGTGTGCATGTTTGGTTTGGAGCCCCGAGGGCTCGGGTGAGTTTCGGATAACCTACGAACCATTTGAACTTTGAGGAAAAAATCTGGTTTTTAGCTTCTGCTATCATCTGGTGCATTGTGCTTCGCGTTCGCGACCGAGAGTACGCGTTCGCGACCGAGGGCACGCGTTCGCGAAGGGTCGAAGTGCAAAGCTTCGTGTTTGCGATCAAAGCCTCGCGTTCGCGAAGAGGGAATGAGCAGAAACTGAAGCACCAAAATTGTGTTACGCGATCGCACAAGTCAGTACGCGATCGCGTAAGGTTGAGAAAATGTTCTCTGCGATCGCATGGCCATTTACGCGATCACGTAGAGTTAAAATTTCGGGCAACCAAAACATGATTCGCGATCGCAAAGAATTATCTGCGATCGTGAAGAGTAAAATGGACCTAGGCACAAGTTGTTCTACGCGATCGCGAATGAAGTTCCGCGATCGCGATGAGTAAAATTCTAGGCAAACAGAACTTAAGTTCTGAAAATGGGATTTCGACCCATTTTCCACTATTTTCGATTTTGAGCTCGGGTAAGACGATTTTTGGGCAATTTTATTGAAAAAATATTGGGGTAAGTATTCCTTATCCTATATTGATTATATTTCATGATTCCATACTCATTTATATCATGAATCCGTGAATTTATGGAAGAAAATCAGATTTTTTATAAAATCTTCCAAAAATGTAAAATGAAGATTTGAAAGCCAATCCGATGTCGAAATTCGATAATTTTTGTATGGTTGAACTCGTATCGAAACGGGTGTTCGGATTTCGCGAGTTCTTCCGGGATTCGAGATGTGGGCCACACTATTGATTTTTAAAATAAATTTTAGATTTTTATCCGAAAAATTTATAAATTCATATGGAATTAATTCCTACGATTTGTATTGAGTATATTGAATTGTTTATGACTAGATTTGAAGATTTCGGACATGAATTCGCGACGCAAAGATTTATTGGATTCTTGAAATTTTGTTGCAAAGCGAGGTAAGTATCGTGGTTAACCTTGACTTGATGGAATAAAACCCTTGAATTATATACTACGTGAGTTTTATGTGTAACGATGTATAGGCAAGGTGACGAGTGCCTATACTTTGTCAAATTAATTGGTTGCTTAATTATTTAAAACATCTTAAATTGTTTAAGACACGAATTAATTGTTATAGTAATTGTTTCTCTCATATTTCTTGTCATATATTAATCTTGAATTCGCGATTGCACAAGCTAAAGCACCAAAATTGTGCTACGTGATCGCACAAGTCAGTACGCGATCGCGTAAGGTTGAGAAAATATTCTCTGCGATCGCATGGCCATTTACGCGATCGCGTAGAGTTAAAATTTCGGGCAACCAAAACATGATTCGCGATCGCAAAGAATTATCCGCGATCGTGAAGAGTAAAATGGACCTGCACAAAAGTTGTTCTATGCGATCACGAGCAGTAAAAATCTAGGCAAACAGAACTTAAGTTCTGAAAATGGGATTTCAACCCATTTTCCACCATTTTTGATTTTGAGCTCGGGTAAGACGATTTTTGGGCAATTTTATTGAAAAACTATTGGGGTAAGTATTCCTTGTCCTATATTGATTATATTTCATGATTCCATACTCATTTATATCATGAATCCGTAAATTTATGGAAGAAAAATAAGATTTTTTATAAAATCTTTCAAAAATATAAAATGAAGATTTGAAAACCAATCCAATGTCGGAATTCGATAATTTTTGTATGGTTAAACTCGTATCGGAACAGGTGTTCAGATTTTGTGAGTTCTTCCGGGATTCGAGATGTGGACCACACTATTAATTTTTAAAATAAATTTTAGATTTTTATCTGAAAAATTTGTAAATTCATATGGAATTAATTCCTACGATTTGTATTGAGTATATTGAATTGTTTACGACTAGATTTGAGGATTTCGGACACGAATTCGCGAGGCAAAGGTTTATTGAATTCTTAAAATTTGGTTGCAAAGCGATGTAAGTATCGTGATTAACCTTGACTTCAGGGAATAAAACTCTTGAATTATTTACTACGTGAGTTTCATGTGTAACGATGTATAGGCAAGGTGACGAGTGCCTATACTTTGTCAAATTAATTGGTTGCTTAATTATTTAAAACATCTTAAATTATTTAAGACACGAATTAATTGTTATAGTAATTGTTTTTCTCATATTTCTTGTCATATATTAATTCTTGAATTCCTGCAATTATTGTTACATGCTTATTTGATTTATGTGTCTTAATTGCTACTTGACCTTTAGCATATTAAATATTAAACTGCCTATTTTCTCCCTGATTTTCATAATTAATTGTCACTACTTGTCATTGTTTGTTTCATAAATAAATTATAATTATTGTATGCCTTGATGCTTAATAGTTTCTTATTGAACGTGGTATTTATTAGAGTATTTCTATTACATTTAATAGGTGTATATATATATGGGGGATCGGGTTGCACGCCGCAACAGATTTATTTAAAGTTTATATGGGGAACCGGGTCGTACGCCGCAACAAACTTATTTAAAGTCTATATTGGGGGATCGGGTTGTACGCCGCAACAGACTTATTTAAAGTTTATATTGGGGGAACGGGTTGCACGCCGCAATGGAAACAATTTGAGGGATTGTGACTCCTACTACTATTGCTACTGCTGCTACTACTGCTACTATTACTACTACTACTACTACTACTACTACTGCTACTACTACTACTACTACTACTACTACTACTGCTGCTACTACTGCTACTGCTACTGCTACTGCTACTGCTACTGTTACTGCTACTGCTACTGCTACTGCTACTGCTACTGCTACTGCTACTGCTACTGCTGCTGCAGCTGCTGCTGCTGCTGCGGCTATTGCTGCTACTGCTGCTGCTATTGCTGCTCCTACTGCTGCTACTACTACTACTGCTATTGCTGCTACTACTATTGCTGCTACTACTGCTGCTGCTACTGCTACTGCTACTACTGCTACTACTACTACTACTACTGCTGCTGCTGCTACTTCTACAACTACCACTACTACTATCACTATCACTACCACTATCACTATCACTACTGCTAGTAGTAGTGCTGCTACTACTGCTACTAGTAATAGTAGTAGTAGTAGTAGTAGTGGTAGTAGTAGTGCTGCTACGACTATTGCTGCTACTACTACTATTGTAGCTACTACTACTACTACTACCACTACTACTGTTGCTACTACTACTGCTACTGCTACTGCTACTGCTACTGTTACTACTAGTAGCTACTACTACAATTACCACTATCACTATCACTACCACTACCACTATCACTACCACTACTGCTAGTAGTAGTGCTGCTACTACTAATACTGCTACCACTATCACTACCACTATCACTAGTAATAGTAGTAGTAGTACTGCTACTACTGCTGCCACCGCTACTGCACCACCACCACCACCACCAACTTCGACTACCACTACTGCAACTCCTACTACTGCTGTTGTTGCTGCTGCTACCACCACTACTAACCACCACTACTACCACTATCACCACCACTACTACTACTACTACTACCACTACTATCACTACTATCACTACGACCACTACTACCACTACGACTACTACCACTACTACTACCACTGTTGCCACCACTGCTGCTACCACTACTGCCACCACTGCTGCTACTGCTGCTGCTGCTGCTACTACTACTACTACTGTTGTTGTTGTTGTTGTTGTTGTTGTTATTGCTGCTGCTACTGCTACTCCTGCTGGTACTACTGCTACTGCTACTGCTACTACTATTGCTACTGCTACTGCTACTGCTACTGCTACTACTACTGCTGCTGCTACTACTACTACGACTACTACTATTACTATTACTGCTGCTACTACTACTACTGCTGCTGCTACTGCTACTACTGCTATTGCTACTACTACTGTTATTACTACTACTACTGCTACTACTACTGTTACTGCTACTGCTATTACTACTACTGCTATTACTACTACTACTACTACTACTACTACTACTACTACTACTACTGTTACTACTACTACTCTACTGTTGCTACTGCTACTAATGCTACTACTACTGCAACTACTACTACTACTACTACTACTACTGCTACCACTATTGTTACTGCTACCATCATTATAACTGCTACCACTATCACTATCACTACCACTACTACTAGTACTACTGCTACTACTACTATCACTACTACTACTACTATCACTAACACTATCACTACCACTACTAGTACTACTACTACTGCTACCACTACTATTACTGTTACCACTACTACTGCTATCATCATTATTATTGCTACCACCATTATTACCGCTACCACTACTACTAGTACTACTACTACTACTATCACTACCACTATTACTATTACCACTATCACTACTATCACTATCACTACTATCACTATCACTACTATTACTACCATTACTACTACTACTATCACTATTACTACTACTATTAATACTACTACTACTACTACTACTACTACTACTACTACTACTGTTGCTACTGTTGCTACTACTACTGCTACTACTATTACTACTGTTACTACTGCTGCTACTGCTCCTCCTGCTATTACTGCTGCTACTGCTACTACTACTGCTGCTGCTACTACAACTGCTGCTACTGCTATTGCTACTGCTGCTGCTACTATTGCTACTATTACTACTGCTGTTGCTACTGCTACTACTGCTGCTATTGCTGCTACTACTGCTGCTACTGCTACTACTACTTCTACTGCTATTGCTACTGCTACTGCTGCTGCTGCTACTACTACTACTGCTGCTACTATTGCTACTATTACTACTGCTGTTGCTACTGCTACTACTGCTGCTATTGCTGCTACTACTGCTGCTACTGCTACTACTACTTCTACTGCTATTGCTACTGCTACTGCTGCTGCTGCTACTACTACTACTGCTGCTACTATTGCTACTACTACATTTACTACTACTGTTACTACTGCTACTATTACTGCTACTACTACTACTGCTACTACTGCTGCTGCTGCTACTACTACTACTACTGCTACTACTACTACTTCTATTACTACTACTGCTACTACTACTACTACTATTACTACTACTGCTACCACTACTACTGCTACTATCACTACTACTACTACTATCACTACCCCTACTACCACTACTAGCACTATTACTATAACTATCACTATCACTACCACTACTATTATCACTACCATTACCACTACCACTACTACTATTACTACTATCACTACCACTACCACTGCTACGACTACTACCACTACCACTATACTATCATTACTACTGCTACTACTACTATTACTATCACTACTGCTAATGCTACTGCTACTGCTACTGCTGCTGCTACTACTACTACTACTACTACTACTACTACTACTACTACTACTACTACTACTACTGCTACTACTACCACTACCACTACGACTACCACTATCACTACGACTATCACTACGACTACGACTATCACTACCACTACCATTACTACCACTACTATCACTACTACCACTATCACTATCACTACCATTACTATCACTACTACCACTATTACTACTACTACTACTACTATTACTACTACTACCATCACTATCACTACTACTACTACTACTGTAGCTATCACTACCACTACTATTGCTACCACTACCACTGCAACTGCTACTACTCCATCTACTACTACTACTGCTACCACTATTGCAACCACTACTACTGCTGCTGCTGTTGCCGCCGCCGATGCTGCTGTTACTGCTGCTACACTACCACTACCATAACTACTATCACTATCACTACTACTACAACTACCACTACTATCACTACTATTACTACCACTACTACTACTACTACTACTATCATTACTACTACTACTACTACTACCACTATCACTACCACTACTACTACTACCACTACTATTACTACTATTACTATCACTACCACTACTATTATCACTATCATTACCACTATCACTACTACTACTACTACTACTACTACTACTACTACTACTATCACTACCACTACCACTACCACTACTACCAGTACTACTATTAACACTACTACTACCACTACTATCACTACCACTATCACTACTACTACTACTACTATTATTATTACTACTACTACTACTACTACTACTACTACCATCACTACTACCACTGCTACTGCCGTTGCTGCTGCTGCTGCTGCTGCCGCTACCGCCGCCNGTTATTATTGTTGTTGTTATTGTTATTATTGTTGTTGTTCTTATTGTTATTGTTGTTGTTGTTGTTGTTGTTGTTGTTGTTGTTATTTTTATTATTATTGTTATTGTTATTGTTATTAGTATTATTATTACTATTATTACTATTACTATTATTATTACTATTACTACTACTACTACTACTACTACTACTACTATTATTATTATTATTATTATTACTATTACTATTATTACTATTATTATTATTATTATTATTATTATTATTATTACTATTATTGTTGTTTTTATTGTTATTATTGTTATTATTATTGTTGTTATTATTGTTATTATTGTTGTTATTATTGTTGTTGTTGTTATTGTTCTTGTTATTGTTGTTATTATTGTTATTATTGTTGTTATTATTGTTCTTCTTATTGTTGTTGTTATTATTGTTGTTGTTATTATTATTGTTATTGTTATTATTATTCTTCTTGTTATTGTTGTTATTGTTGTTGTTATTATTGTTGTTGTTATTATTATTGTTATTGTTATTATTATTCTTCTTGTTATTGTTGTTATTGTTGTTGTTATTATTGTTGTTGTTCTTGTTATTGTTGTTGTTATTGTTATTGTTATTGTTGTTTTTGTTGTTGTTATTATTGTTGTTATTATTATTGTTATTATTATCATTATGATTATTATTATTATTATTATTATTATTATTATTATTATTATTATTATTATTATTACTATTGCTTATTATTATTGTTGTTGTTATTGTTATTGTTGTTGTTATTATTGTTGTTGTTATTGTTATTATTGTTGTTGTTGTTGTTGTTATTATTGTTGTTCTTATTGTTATTGTTGTTGTTGTTATTATTCTTATTGTTATTATTGATGTTGTTGTTGTTATTATTGTTATTGTTATTATTGTTATTATTGTTGTTATTATTATTGTTATTATTGTTATTATTGTTATTATTATTATGATTACTATTATTATTATTATTATTATTATTATTATTATTATTATTATTATTATTATTATTATTATTATTATTATTATTATTATTATTATTATTATTAT